CCCAGAGGGAGGAAGGATGCCTTGCCTGTCACAGCTGCCCCAGGGCTCCCTCTGCCCCTCTCCTGCATACTGTGGTGGCCCCATCAGGCCTTCTGGGCATGTCTTCTCAGGCCTTTGGCTACCACAGTCTTTGGTGACCTCTGCCATGGCCTCCCTACTGAGTGGCTCTGGACCAACCACAGTCTCAGCTCATTTTGCAAGGGTGTGCTCCACTAGATGACTTTTATACTCTCCCATTCATCCTGTCCTGGATGTACCAGACTTTCCTTGGGTCCCACCACCCTCTCCCTGAGGGACTCTAGGCTCCTATGGGGGCCATGTACATACATGTGTGATGGTGGAAGGTGTTGCATGGGGGAGGAGGTGTCCTATGATTCCTGACCCCACCTGGCCTTTCCTCCCCCTCTCCTCACCACCAGAGATTGTACACGAGGACTTGAAGATGGGGTCTGATGGGGAGAGTGACCAGGCTTCAGCCACGTCCTCGGATGAGGTGCAGTCTCCAGTGAGGGTGCGCATGCGCAACCATCCCCCACGCAAGATCTCCACTGAGGTGCCTAACCCCCTGTCTGGATGGTAGAGGAGCTGGAAAAGGGGGTTGCGCCTGGGTAGGTGGAGCTCATGGTCCTGTTTGTCTCCTGCCTTGCTTGCTAGGACATCAACAAGCGCCTGTCGCTACCAGCTGACATCCGGCTGCCCGAGGGCTACCTTGAGAAGCTGACCCTCAATAGCCCCATCTTTGACAAGCCCCTCAGCCGCCGCCTCCGTCGTGTAAGCCTGGTAAGCACCTTCTGTTCTGTCTTCTCCTCCTCTTCCTCCACCTCTCACAGTCCCTTTCCTCGAACCTGCTTCAACCTGCCTCCTGTATCCCACAGTCCGAGATTGGCTTTGGGAAACTGGAGACCTACATCAAGTTGGACAAGCTAGGCGAGGTGAGAGACAGCTAGGAGGCCCATGCTGGGGATGGGTTTCAGTGGGAACTCCCTGTAGTCTCATAGCATCTCTCCTGTCACACTTCCTCACACTCCAGGGTACCTATGCCACCGTCTACAAAGGCAAAAGCAAGCTCACAGACAACCTTGTGGCACTCAAGGAGATCAGACTGGAGCATGAAGAGGGGGCACCCTGTACCGCCATCCGAGAAGGTACAGACCCCATCCCATCTGCTCCAGGCTTCCTGAACCCTCCCCATGGTGTACACACACATGCTTCATGATGAGAACAGAGACTGAAGGTTCTGGGAGCCATGCCCCCAGTGCTCTGCCTTTCATGAGAATGCCTGTCATCCATATATCCAAGTATTAATCAGGGTAACCAGGAATCCATTCCTGTTTAGAGAAAAGGTGATTGAGTTACAAACCAGGGTCCTTGCTTTGATTCTGAGAGCACCCCTGAAAGTGCTCACCACCTTACTTGCCACAACAGTTTCTAGTCAGAATATCACATGGAATGAATTTGAATTGTACAAAAATTGAGTGTGCAAACTCAATTTCATGCAATGCTGCAGGCCTGGGTACTGAGGATTAGAGCAAGGCCCTTTCCCAGAAATCAAAAACAGGTTGTGAAAATCTGGTGTCATATGAGACTGGTGCTGCAGCCCCAGCTTTTTGCTTAATACTGTCCTCTGAGCCTTATTTTCCATATCTGGAACATGGAGACACAACTTCTTTCTGGCATAGGGTGCATTAGAGCTGGTGACTATGAGGCATTACCTTAAAATGTGAAAAGACAGAAGGCTGAGGAGGAAGGATCGCCGGAGCCCAGCAGGTCAAGGCTGCGGGGGGCGGGAGCGGCC